TTATTTTACTTTTTCTATTGTCTGCGAATTTAATTTTTATGGCATGTTATTTTCTGTTATTTACTTCATGTTAGTTTAATTGCTTTAGGATATTGCATTTATTTTAGTATTTGTAGCTTTTATTACACTTGTTTGGTTATGAAGTCCTTGGAGGTTTCCAAGGCAATTAGTAACCCATTTTGCAGAACTCTATCCTCTGTTTTGCAATATCGTCTGGGACGCAACGCAATTCATTTCACAGACGTTCTTTCCAGCCATCCTATTGGAGGTCGACCAATGGAAAAGAGAAGGATTGTTTGGAAAATCCTATTTTCTTGTTTTTAGACAAAGCAAGTGGCACGCCTAACATCCAACTCACGTGGTAAGGGTCGGCTGAAGATTTTTGAGGAAACAGAAAGTGAAACAACAGATGTAGTTTTATGTTGATAGAAGAAATAGGGTGAAGAAAAGGGTAGAATGGTATTTTTATTTTATATAACACTAAAATTAAAGATAATTAATCATTTCTTAATTCCAATGCAGGAACCTATAACAACTAACATAATGGAACAAGAGGTGTATTTAACTTATTTTAAGATACTTTAAGAGAAATTCTTCTTGTCAATGAGAAACTCCTTTTAAATTGCAACAATATTATTTTATTAAATTCACGTTTCTTAAATTTTATTTTTTTTTAAGTGAGAAAAAAAGGAGATATCTCAAGGGATATCCCCATGGGCTGCTCTAATGGAGATGCTCTAAAATTCTACTATTATCTTCGTTAGTGGCTGCATGATTAAAACAATAGAAAAGTGAACCATTAACGAGGGGCAGGTTGATATTGGAGTGGTCTTCTTGTTTACTAATGATTATATAATTTGTAGTTTATCCAAAACAATTCTCTTAATAAATAAGAATTAATTTAATTTGTATTTTAAGAGTATAAATAATTCAATATACATTTTAATATTATTAAAATATAAATAATTTTAATTAATTATTTTTTAATTTTTAATAGTTAATATTTATTATGTTTTAGATAAAAATGATAATTATTTTTAATAAATATAATAAAAAGTAAACATATCTTAACTATTAAAAATAAAATGATAAATAATCAAAATTTCA